ACTGCAAGGCACCAAAAACACTCCTATAATTTGTTGCATCCTCTGGTCCAAGAACTTCTCCACCTTCCACTGTAAGCTTCTCAGAGGTAGAAATCGATGTGTTAACTGGCTTGCAATTTTCCAACCCTACTCTCCTGAGAATATCAGTTGTATATTTTTCTTGTGAGAGAAGTATGCCATCTTTAACTTGCTTTACCTCTATACCAAGGAAATAGTGAAGATCACCCAAGTCCTTAAGAGCAAATTCCAGCTTCAGATCTTTAAGCAAGCAAGTAGTGGCATCTGAACTTGAACTAGCAACAATTATATCATCAACATAAACCAGCACAAAGATAGTAACATTGCCTTTGTTAAAGAAGAATAATGAGGTATCTGCCTTGGATGGTATGAACCCAAGACGTTGCAACTGCATACTTAGTCTGGAGTACCAGGCTCTTGGAGCCTGCTTCAAACCATACAAAGCTTTATCCAACTTACAAACATGTTGTGGTGTGCTAGAATTCTCATAACCTGGTGGTTGCCGCATGAACACTTCTTCCTCAAGAACACCATGAAGAAACGCGTTCTGAACATCTAGCTGTCTTAGACTCCATCCTCTGGAAACAGCAATAGACAAGACAAGGCGAATAGTTGTTGACTTAATGACAGGACTAAATGTATCTTCATAATCAATTCCAAACCTCTGTTTAAACCCTTTGGCAACTAGTCTAGCCTTATACCTGTCTATGCTTCCATCAGACTTTCTTTTGATCTTATACACCCATTTGCAATCAATAACATTGTTTCCATACTTTGGTGGAACTAAATGCCAAGTCTTATTTTTCATAAGTGCATCATATTCACTATCCATAGCTTCCTTCCAATTCTTATTAGCAAGAGCATCATCCAAACTTAGTGGTTCACCGGTGGTGGTAAGAAATGCACGTTTGATCTTGTCATACCTTATCGTACCATCATTGTACTTTTTTTCCTTGACAATACCTGACCGAGACCGTGTTTGTCGAGGAGAGGCCGTAGGCAGCACAGGAGAAATTGTTGCCACAGAAGATCCAGCCGACACGTGATCCGAGGCGGATTCATGCGGCAGCTTGGCTGGCTCAGGCTCCAGATCCGAGGGAGATCCGCGCAGCGCATGCGCCGAATCAGCACGCGTTGATTCCTCCGCCGCCGCAGGCCCACGCGACGTGGGGTCCGTCCCGCACGCACGCGCACGGTCGGTCGCTGTGAGAAGCGCCTCGTCCTCCGATGAACTCCCCCCGACACATGGGCTGTCAGCGCGTGGGGACCCGTCAGGTGATGACGCGGCATGATTGGCACGGGGCGACGCCGTGGAACCGATGGGCTCCACTCGGTCAGTGCGGTCGGCCACCAGCCCAGAAGAGGCCAAGCGCACGGGAGGATCCGCCTGGGATCGCGCGCCGCCAGGTGCGGCAGGCTGGGCGGGCGAATCGACCTCGGATCGCCCGCTGTCAGCCGAATCTGCCCCGGTGTCCGTGACCAGCCTGTCTTTTCCTTCACACATAAAATGACAGGGTAAATTTGCACAAATAACATCACCAGAATCAGATTTTTCATGCGATTTTTGCATATGATCTCGTTCATTTAATTCCCCCCCACTATCAGATGAAGTTGCGGGATTAGATAGAAGAGCAATCTCGGCACGAAGCAAGGCGCCTGCATTGGGATGCAATTTGGAAAACGGAAAGAGTGTCTCATCAAAAACAACATCACGAGAAATATAGATGCGTCCGGTAGAGATCTCAAGGCACTTATAACCTTTATGAAGATTACTATAGCCAAGAAAAATACACTGTGTGGATCTAAACTCAAGTTTATGACGGTTGTAGGGACGCAAATTTGGGTAACAAGCACACCCAAATATCTTGAGATAGTTGTAATCAGGTTTTTGATGATAGAGACGCTCTAAAGGAGTGGTGTTTCCAATAACTTTGCTAGGGAGCCTATTGATAAGATAGGTGGCAGTAATGAAAGCTTCGTCCCAATACTTGAGAGGCATAGAAGCATGAGCTAACAGAGAAAGACCAACTTCAACAATGTGGCTGTGTTTACGCTCAGCAGAGCCATTCTGTTGATGAGCATGAGGGCAAGATACATGATGGGCAATCCCAATACTACGGAAAAAGGAGTGGAGTTTCTCATACTCCCCTCCCCAGTCACTTTGGACGGCGAGGATTTTTCTATCAAATTGGCGCTCAACAAGTTTCTGAAACTCTTGAAAAATAAAGAAAACCTCAGATTTGTATCGAAGTAAATAAATCCAAGTGAACTTGCTATAATCATCAATAAAACTGACATAATATTTTTTTCGACCAAAAGAATCTCGGGCATGGCCCCATACATCACTAAAAATAAGTTCTAAGGGAGCATGAGACACACTAGTTGACTTGAGATAAGGAAGCTGATGGCTTTTGGCACATTGACAGGCTTCACAGACAGACTCACAAACTGGACTAGGAGACAAAGAAAGTTTGTCTTTATTGACTATTTGTTTGACAATGATCGAAGATGGATGCCCTAATCGTTGATGCCACCGTGCCAAAGAGGGCTTGATGACGGAGTAGACTTAATGACGCTTGCGACCTAGTGCTCCGGATGAAATAGGGTAGAGCCCTCCAACGCATCTACCGTGATGAAGTAGTTCCCTCGTTGCCCGATCCTTGATGAAAAAATAACGGGGGTGAGTTTCAAAGAAGACATTGTTATCGGTGGCTAGTCTAGACATGGATGCAAGATTTTTGTCAGCTTGAGGGACATGAAGCACATCTCTAAGAACAAGATTGCGTTTAAGTGTAGGGGAATTAATAGAACTTTGACCAATATGACAAATATCCATACCTCCACCACTAGCAGTGTGAATCTGATCGGCGCCATGATAGCGCTCACGTAGAGCAAGTTGCTCGAGTTCGTTCGTCACATGATCCGTAGCGCCGGAGTCGATGTACCAGACGCCATCTCCACCCTGCTCACGCATGACGGCAGCAACATGGCGATCCGAGGGCACAAAGTCCTCGTTGTAGCGATGCCAGCAATCAATCACCTCGTGACCAGACTTTTTGCAAAGCTGGCATCGGGGGCGCGGGCGGGAAGGAGGGCGGCGGCCGTTGTTGTTGTTGAAGCCGCCGCTGTTGCCGCTGTTGTTGTAGCCGCCCCCGCCACCAGAGCGTGCGCCATCGCCAGGAGAGGGGGCGCCGCGTCCGCGCCCACCGCCGCGCTGCCCCTGGTGACCGCGCCCACGGCCGTGACCACGAGAGGCGGAGTTGACGGAGGATTGCCGAAGGTCGCCTCCATGGAGGAGAGTGAGCCGGGCATCAAAACTGAGCAGTTGGATGTAGAGTTCTTGGACGGTGATGGGTTCCACCCTGGCGGCAAGTGCAGAGACCACCGGGTTGTACTCCATGTCCAAACCGGCAAGGATTTTGGAGACAATCTCCGGATCAGAGAGGGCCGCAGCCGTGCTTGCGACCTCGTCAGTGAGACTTTTTATTTTACCAAGATAATCAGCCATGGATAGGTTACCTTTCTTGAGATTGGTGAGCTCGATGCGAGTGTTTATCGCTTGGGCTTGGCTTTGTGCAGCAAACATGGCGTGGATGGTGCTCCACACCTCGGCCGGCGTCTGGAGCGTGGCGACCTGGGCAAGGATCTCACGGGAAAGTGAACCCATTAAGTATCCTTGGAGTTGCTGCTGCTGTGCATACCAGAGGGATCTTGCAAAGTTGACGACTTGTTCTTCTTTGCCTTCCGTGGTGACGGTGAGGGTGGCGGGTGGTGGCGGGCTCGTCGCGTCGAGGTGGTGCTCCATCTGGGCACCTCTGATCTGCGGGAGTACTATGGCCTTCCAGAGCAAAAAATTGCCCCGCGTAAGCTTCTCCTGTGGTGGCGATCCGAGAGAGGTGGTGTTGTGGGTGGAGGAGGAGGAAGATGATGCAAAGGTGGAGGATGGGGTGGTGGTGAGCGCACCCATGGTGCTTGCGGTCATGGCTGCGGTGGTGGTGGACATACTCTCGGTCGCGAAGGTAGCTAGATGCAATCTCTCTCGATTGGATGAGGAAGAGGCTCTGTTACCATGTAAAAGTGTTTTGGGAAACGTAGAACCCTTTGTCTCGGGCCGCATGTATATATTAGGCAAAAGCCTTGGCACACAAGTTTACAGAGGGAGAGATCGATCAGATGGGATCGATCAAGTCGTTACAGAAAGATCGTGAGAGACAGAAGAAGAGATAGAACAGAATACAGAGTTTAAACCAACTCTATCCCTATACAACTTCTACTACACGCATATTCCAACACTGCAAACGTGATTACCGCTGAGGCAATGGCTATGAGGTATGTAGTGAATTTCGCAAATTTTCTAGGGTTTAATCGGGTGGAGACGGAACCCGATTCACAAAACGTAATAGATTTCTTCACTAGGCAATCAAGATGGTGCGGTGTGGCGTTGGCATTCTTTGCGGAGTCGGAGTGTGAGTGTGTGAACATTACTTCTTTGATTGGTAAGGTCACCTTTAAACATTATGTTCGTTCGGCTAATCAAGCGGAGCAAGTGCTAACTAATTATTGTTATTGTAATAAGATTTCTATTAGTTGTACTGATGAGCCACCTGAATCTAGTCAATCAGCCACCTGAATCTAGTCAATCTAGTCAGTAAGCCCGTGAAAGATGTAATGATGTTATGAGATCAATAAAGCTAGCCATGATAGTTTTCCCTAAAAAAAAGTAGAAAGTCCTTCTCAAACTCAGGCAACCTCTCTTGGCTCAAATAATAGATACATTCATCTTTTCAAACAACAGGATGCTGGTACGATATAGTTGAACTATATACTGTACACGCCAAGAACTCCACATCAGCAGTTCAGTACTAGTACAATCAAATGGGCTTATAGCTTCTACAGACGAACTAGGAGAAATGGCGTATGAGTTAAGCGCTAAACAGCTGCAAAACTAGGGGAATCATCAATTACATACACATCCTACCATGTCATGCACAAGCCTGTCCTGCTTCATCAGACTTCTTCATGGACCTACTCAACTGAAACACTGGGTGTCTGCAGATTCTGCCTACCCCTTTCCTAAATTTGAATCTGTCAAACAAACCTTCCACACTGTCGTTACTGAATTTGTTTCCAGAACTGCTGTCATCTTGGCTATTACTAAAATCACTGTCCACAGGAGAAAATTCGTCATTGTATTTGTCATGTGCTGTACCGGTGTCACACTTCTTGGGTTCTCCGACACTGGCTTGCGCATCTTGGTGAAGCGCTTGTTCCATGCTAAAGAGAAAGTGGTCGAGAGTAGCCCCACTAATCATGGGGCGTTCGACATTTTCCCGACTTGAGCAATTTAAGGGGTTGTCCAAAAGATTTAATGCCTGAGGCGCATCTTTGTCACTCGGGGAACCAGAGCTGGAGGTGAATCCCCTTGTTGCGGCAGCTGCCTCCTCCCTTTCTTTGACAGTCTTCAGTATCAATGTCTTCAAAAAATTCATCACTTGAACTGCATGTATCAAAGCAGTTAAGGGATCGGCCATCTGAAAGAGAGAGAATATGGTAAGGGGTAAGTCATATGGTTAGGCTGCGAATCTGAAAATACGTATGTCGAGAATATGAATAAGCTTCCTAATAACCTGAGTCATGTTTGGCGCGAAAACCATAGCAACGTTGCGAGCATTCATCTTGTTGTAGTTTTCATGCTCCACAACATCTGCCATCAGATTAATGGCCCAATCCAGTAATGCTGCTTCCACTGGAGGTACAATACTCGCAATACGAGAACACTCTTCTTCAGTGTTGCAATGCATCACTTGTTCTGGAGTCAATGAGTCTAATACTCCACTTGGAAGTTCTCGGAACCATGCCTACAAATCAGCAGCCATATTAAATGTGAAGCAACTGATAAACAAAAGGGAAAATTAAAAAAAAAGTCATTTCCCTATAGATTTCTTTAAAGTAAATTTGTTCAAAGAAAGTTTATGCATTGTATCACTGTGCATATTGATTCTTGAATACACCTGAACTCTCATATTGGAAGGCTCTCTACATGTTCAGATTACATAAAAAATGATCCAGTTCAAGACAGTCAAAATTGCGGAAACAAGAATATTCTCCTTAGGCATGGAAGACCTACGTTCCATCTAAAAAAAATTGAAGGTAAACAAAGAAACGTTGGTAATGGTAAAACAAAATGTTCAGCGCACCTTTATAAGGCCTGCAAGATAATGCAAGTCAACTCCATCTGGAACAACACCTCTGTTTAGTTGCTCCCTGACATGCTGTTCCTGTCTATTGTCAGCATTTATTCTGAAGACCCCTTCAGCCTAGCAAAACAAGACAAATATTTTTATGATTTGAGTATCGCAAAATTATTTGAAAGCTTTTCTCATTATCCTTGGGTTTACCTGAAGGCCCCCAAGTAAATATAGCTTCCTTTGCATGGTCAATAGTATTGTTGGTACACTGTTTCCTCTTTTATCAAACGAGCATTGCATGGACGTTGGTGAAACTCCAAATACACTTACACTGCAGAGAAATATATTTAGTAAACATAAACTGTGTCACAGTTCAATAGATATAGCAAACATTAACTATGGCATGGTCCAATGTTCTAACAAACATTAACTTAACTGGAGGTTGAATGTGTTAAACTCATACCCCCTCTGTTCACTTTTATAAGACCTTGAAGACATTTCAGACAATGTACAAAACAGCCCATTTTGAGTTGTTTGAAATGACTTACAAAAGTGAACGGAGGGAGTATTTAACTATTTGAACAAGGTGCTGAACTCATATAATTCCTCAAAATTTGAAAGGTATATTATACATCAGATACAACCGTACCAGACCAGGACAATGGAACTTGTAGGTGGTGAGTAAGGACATCTTCAACGTCGATCACCAAAACACCCGCAAATGTCCGTTCGGAGGTCTAGAAACTTTTTAGTCATTCAACGCGGCTCACAAAATCAGTCCGGGCGCCTGAAAGCCCACAAACCGTCCTCAGACCGGGGAGCCCCCATTGGCTCAACCACTGGGATAAAGCCAAGCCAATCTAAAGGCTCAACAGACTAACAGCTACTCCTACTACTCCGTGCTCAGTTTTTCTTAGTTAGGTGGACCAATTAGCTGGGCATCACGTGACTAATTAATTCAAAAATGAGAAATGCAAACAACGTCAAAATTCAGCTTAATCCACAAAAGTAAGGCCGCAAATTCTGCAGGGCCGGAATCCAAAGCACAGAGATCGGCGACGAAATCATGTGCAAATCTATGGAACGCAAGACGCACTGGTGAAACACAGGCGGCGGGGCGGCGGACTGACCTGGCGCTGGGCGCGGGGCGCGGCACCTCGGGCTCGAGGTCGGCAGGGAGGCCGAGGAAGCCGACGAAGCGGTCGAAGGTGACGTGCGAGACGTGGCGCACCTCCGTGGGCTGCCCTATCTGCATCCCCGCAGCCGCAGTGCCGGTGCCTTCCTCGGCGCGCACGCTGCTGCACAGCAGCAGCGACCTCCGCAGCGCCGCCGCGACCATATCCACCACGGAGACCCCTCCCCTCGACGCCGGCAGTATCAGCGGCGACGCGACCGGCACCTCTTCCTCCCCCACCTCCTCCTCCTCTTCCTCCTCCTCCTCCTCCTCCTCCTCCTCTTCGGTGTCAGAGCAGCAGGGGAGGGGGATTTGGCGGGCGAAGCGGATCCGGGACGGCACCATGGTGGAACTAAATAAGATGGCTGCCGAAGAGAGGAATCCCAGCTCCCACGCGAGAAGCAAAGGGGATAGGATTGGGAGAGTGGGAGGTGGGAGAGGGGTGGGGTGGGGGCAGGCAGCGAGCGGCTCCGGCGTGGCGTTATGTTTAGCCGGGGACGGCTGCCACGCTGGTTTGCTCAACCGCCCCTTGTGCACTTCGCTGGCTCGTCGAGCTTGGCTGTTTGTTAGCTCGCGTTTACCGTCGAGCTGCCATCGCCTGCGCTGCGTCATGTGATTTTCGGATCTTTCGGTTCGGTCGCCACGGCTCCTGGTTAGTTTCGGTTTTGAAAATTCAGTAGCGGGGGAAGTTGAGGGTGCGTAGTGTTACTATTAATTTTGATTGACGGCGGGGCGAGCCACGGCTACAGCCTGGATCGTGGAGCAAAGAGTGGCACTGGTACAGGTACAGCAGGCATGCTGCATAGTTTTTCTTTTCAAAGGCTTGCTGTATTTGTTTTAACACAGATGCAAGCGCATACATTCACCCTTCGAATGTATACACGCACACTCTATCCCTATGAGCACCTTCAAGAGAAAGGACCGGCACATCATTTTGAGATTTACAAAGTCATCGTAGGCGCCTCGTCGTCGACGGTAACGTCTTCTCTCACTAAAAGCGCATCGCCGGAAATTTTGAAATAAATTCAGGAATAATGCGAGCATCAGGACTTGAATCCCGATAGACCGAGGATACCACTGTCCCTCTAACCATCTAATCATAGGTTGGTTCACGAAAGGCTTCTTGTATAGTTTGTTGGTTTCCGTTTTTGGATTTTGCTAAATCGCGGATGTCTGCTCGTGAGCTTGCTGAGCCCTGAATTTGCAAGGGTATATGTAGATCCCCTTTTCAGGTAGCCAGACTGCCCAGACGTGCCTTGCTCCCCATTGCCTTCGGAAGCAGCTCCCCTGACATACGACACATGCCGTTCAGGGCACTGACATGTGGACCTAATTCCCGGCGAGCCCGCCTGTCAGTGGCTGAACAGTACCCTGCCGCACGACAGAGGATCCTCGTGTTTCTCAAAAGAAAAGACAGAGGATCCTCGTCCATTGCCTTCATGGTTGTACCTTGTGTGGTCCGGTAAAGGAACTGAGTTCAGACGAGTTAGACTACACTTAGGGCGTGTTTGGTTGCCCGCATCGAGCCCAACCAGGCCCACGCGGGAAGCGAACAGGCTGTTTGGTTGCCTGGTTTACTATTGGGCCTGCATAGCACGAAACTTAAAGCACCTCTGGGCCTGCCTCGCTGGAAACCCAGGAATCGGCAGTTTCTCTAGGGCCAGGCCCGAGCGGCTGCACGCGCGCGGCCACCCTCGAGAAGCTGCGTTGCTTCCCGAAGCACCGACAATTATTAGCCTCACCGCCCCTCACCGCTCCCTCTCCCCACTCTTCCCACTCTCCCAACTCTCACGGGCGGTGGCAGATCGGAGCAGAGGAAGAAGACCACCGGACTCCATCACCGGCGGCGGCGGATCGGAGCAGAGGAAGAAGACCACCGGACTCCATCAATGGCGGTAAGCACTTCTCTCTCTTCGACATGCACGCTAGATTCGATCCACGGCGATAGATTCGATCCACGGCGGAGGGGAGTGGAGAATAGAGGTAGATAAGCATAGGGGTAGTTTGATACGTCTCCAACGTATCTATAATTTTGGATTGCTCCATGCTATATTATCTACTGTTTTTGGACATTATTGGGCTTTATTATCCATTTTTATATTATTTTTGGGACTAACCTATTAACCGGAGGCCCAGCCCAGAATTGTTGTTTTTTGCCTATTTTAGGGTTTCGAATAAAAGGAATATCAAACAGAGTCCAAACAGAATGAAACCTTCGGGAACGTGATTTTCTCACCGAATACAACTTATGAGACTTGGACCCTATGTCAAGGCACGTAGCAGGAGGCCACGAGGTAGGGGGCGCGCCCTCCCCCCCTCCCCAGGCGCGCCCCCACCCTCGTGGGCCCCCTATTGCTCCACCGACGTACTTCTTCCTCCTATATATATCCACGTACCCCCAAACGATCAGATACAGAGCCAAAAACCTAATTCCACCGCCGCAACTTTCTGTATCCACGAGATCCCATCTTGGGGCCTGTTCCGGAGCTCCGCCGAAGGGGGCATCGATCACGGAGGGCTTCTACATCATCATCTAAGCCTCTCCGATGAAGTGTGATTAGTTTACTTCAGACCTACGGGTCCATAGTTAGTAGCTAGATGGATTCTTCTCTCTTTTTGGATCTCAATACAATGTTCTCCCCCTCTCTCGTGGAGATCTATTCGATGTAATCTTCTTTTTGCGGTGTGTTTGTTGAGACCGATGAATTGTGGGTTTATGATCAAGTCTATCTATGAATAATATTTGAATCTTCTCTGAATTCTTTTATGTATGATTGCTTATCTTTGCAAGTCTCTTCGAATTATCAGTTTGGTTTGGCCTACTAGATTGGTTGTTCTTGCCATGGGAGAAGTGCTTAGCTTTGGGTTCGATCTTGCGGTGTCCTTTCCCAGTGACAGAAGGGGCAGCAAGGCACGTATTGTATCGTTGCCATCGAGGATAACAAGATGGGGTTTTTATCATATTGCATGAAACTGTCCCTCTACATCATGTCATCTTGCTTAAGGCGTTACTCTGCTTTTAACTTAATACTCTAGATGCACGCTGGATAGCGGTCGATGAGTGGAGTAATAGTAGTAGATACAGGCAGGAGTCGGTCTACTTGTCTCGGACGTGATGCCTATATACATGATCATACCTAGATATTCTCATAACTATGCTCAATTCTATCAATTGCTCAACAGTAATTTGTTCACCCACCGTAGAATACTTATGCTCTTGAGAGAAGCCACTAGTGAAACCTATGGCCCCCGGGTCTCTTTCTCATCATATCAATCTCCATCACTTTATTATTGCTTTGTTTTTACTCTGCTTTTACTTTTTTACTTTGCATCTCTATACCAAAAATACCAAAAATATTATTTATCATCTCTATCAGATCTCACTTTCGTAAGTGACCGTGAAGGGATTGACAACCCCTAAGCGCATTGGTTGCGTTGAGCTATTGTTTTTGTGTAGGTACAAGGGACTTGTGCGTGGCCTCCTACTGGATTGATACCTTGGTTCTCAAAAACCGAGGGAAATACTTACGCTACTTTGCTGCATCATCCTCTCCTCTTCGGGGAAATCCAACGCGGTGCTCAAGAGGTAGCAAGAAGAATTTCTAGCGCCGTTGCCGGGGAATCTGCACAAAAGTCAACATACCAAGTACCCATCACAATCCCTATCTCCCGCATTACATTATTTGCCATTTGCCTCTCGTTTTACTCTCCCCCAAATTCACCCTTGCCGTTTTATTCGCCCTCTCTCTCTCTATCCTCCCTTTCTTTCTCTATTTGCCTCTTTTGCTCGTTTGCCTTGTTGTTTGCTTGTGTGTTAGTTTGTTTGCTTGTCGTTATGGCTAGTCTCGTATCTTCTCCGTTGTCTCCCGAGAATGAAGTTCTAAATTTTAAACAAAGGGAGGGAGAAAATCTAAAAGATGCTTGGTATAGAATTTGCAATGCTCAAAATAGATCTACCAAGAAGCAATCTACTTCAGTTCTTCTCCGCAATTTTTATGTAGGTGCTAGTCCTTGGTATAGATATATCCTCGATACCATTACCGGAGGGAATTTCTTGGGTAGCCATACTTTGGATTCTTATAATGCTATGTTAGATTTATTTGGCTCACCACCTCTTTTGGTTAATGGAACTATGTTAACTTTGGAGCATGTTATGCAAAGACTTGAAATTGTTGAAAATAAAGTTGCTACCATTGAATTAATTGAAAATCTAGATAAAAAGATCCACAATCAAATTACCCAATATGGATCTAGGGTAGGAATAACTTTGAAAAATATTAAGGAAAATGAACCCATAGTTAATGAGAAAATAAATCTAGATTCCACTAGAATCGATAAACTTGAGGGTATCATTACGAACTTGGGAACCGCTTTTTCCTCCGTAAAGAATACTTCAAGTCCTCCTACTAAAATTGCCAAGCTTATGTATGTTCCTAAAAATAAGGGTGAATCATCTAGTAAGGAAACTACGGATCTTAAATCTATAAGTATTCATCCCAATCTTTTTGCTATCATTAAGGAACCAATTGCTACAAATGAATTTTTTGATCTTGTGCCTAAGAGTTTGATAATAACTAGAAAAAAAGAAATTCCTAAGGGAGATAGATGCCTCATTGAAGAATTGCCTGCCAAAGATGGCAATACCTAGATCTATTCTTGCTTGTTATGCCTAGCTAGGGGCGTTAAACGATAGCGCTTGTTGGGAGGCAGCCCAATTTTATTTTTATTCCTTGCTTTTTGCTCATGTTTAGTAATAAATAAATTATTTAGCCTCTGTTTTGGTTGTGTTTTTTGTGTTTAATTAGTGTTTGTGCCAAGTAGAACCGTTAGGAAGACTTGGGGAAAGTCTTGTTGAACTTGCTGTAAAAACAGAAACTTTAGCGCTCACGAGAACTGCTGTCATTTATATTTGAAGAGTGCTATTTAGTTAATTATTTTTGCAGATGATTAATAGATAAATTCCTCACGTCCAGAAATTTAGTTTAGAATTTTTGGGGTTCCAGATCTTGCGCTAGCTACAGATTACTACAGACTGTTCTGTTTTTGACAGATTCTGTTTTTCGTGTGTTGTTTGCTTATTTTGATGAATCTATGGCTAGTAAAATAGTTTATAATCCATAGAGAAGTTGGAATACAATAGGTATAACACCAATATAAATAAAGAATGAGTTCATTACAGTACCTTGAAGTGGTCTTTTGTTTTCTTTCGCTAACGGAGCTCACGAGTTTTCTACTTTAAGTTTTGTGTTGTGAAGTTTTCAAGTTTTGGGTAAAGATTTGATGGACTATGGAACAAGGAGTGGAAAGAGCCTAAGCTTGGGGATGCCCATGGCACCCCCAAGATA